ATCAGTGATGACAGTCGGAATGTCAAGTGAAGGCGTTGAACTGACAGAGGCCGGTCAGAAGGTTCTGGACGAAATCGATTCGAATGTACACCGAACAGCAACTGTTAGACAAAGCATGGACAGGCGATCGCCTGTTACAAAGAAATTTTACTGGAGAAAAATAATTTTTATTCCGCCAGACTTCACTACTGGACTTCTTAAAATCAACCTACTCTAAATAAAAACTGCTGTGTGTTCATTTTAGTTTACTTAATAAAAAATTTAATTTTACCTTTGGTAATAAAAACGTTATAATTCTCCCACGGTTGTTGGATTTTTATTGATTGAACTGACTATGATTTGTATCAATTTAGTACGGAACTGTATGAATTTATCTATCTCGACTTACGTCGTTTCGACTTAAGTCGTCAACTGTACAACCAACCACCTACGACGTTACTTCGAAGTATTACTGTATGGTAAAGTTATCAGTACCGTTCCAATGGTTTCAACTCCGCTGATTCCAGCATCATTTCTTCCCACTTTTCCATGTAGGTGTCTGCCACAAAATGAGATATTGAATGGTCCAAAGACGTGGTCATTCCTTTCAGTATTGTTTATTCCAATTACTAGAAGTTGGTTGAGCCCCGGAAGAAGGGAGAGAGGTCACTTCCAATCAGAGATGTACTCATATCCATGAAGAACGAAACATTGCATATCACTGAATACCAGAATTATACCCACACAGGACGTTACATAAACTTTCATGCCTAGGTGCTACCCCTGATATCATTGAAAGCAGGAATAGTTCAAACGCTATACTTTTGAAACATGATCTTCTACAAGAGCTTTTCGTCACTCCGTCAGGAGAAGAGTAACCTCGTCATCGAATCGCAGAAAATTACAGTATCCGATTATGTTTAGCCATAAAAAAATTCAACAAAATATGCATTAACTCAAACATGACCTGCAATCCAGAAGAAACGACAGACACCGAACAAGACGTCCCACCACTTTTTTCCTAGGTTATCCCATACAAAAGGAACTCTAGTGCGAGTATTAAACGTTCATGACCAGCTACGAGGTAATCACCGTTTGCTGATCCAAAAACGTGCTTGCCAACCTTTCATTCTAGAAAGGCATCATACCAAAATTAAAGGATACCTCAACCGTATAAACTACTGGTGCGAGAAGAGAGCTACACAGGAGAAATCTGCTGACATCCGAAGAACCGATTCATCGCACGTATGGCTTCTGTCGAAAGTACATATGATAGGAGCTCTGGCGCTACCGATCGCGACATATTGTAGAACGACGTCTTACGATAGGATGCACGCAGCATCTTCAGCACGGAGGCTAAGCGGCGTAGAAGAAAACTTTCAGGAACAATCAAAGCATATCGGATGACAAGCGATATTAACGGTTATAAATCATGTGTTATTAGGGAACGTGATTTAATTGTTAATGCATATATCATATTGAAATATATCAATTCATCACTATGCACTTGCAACCTTGCACTGATACCAAGACCATCGAAAATGCACCACGGAAAACCACGGCCCTGATTCCGAACAGAGCGCATCATCCAAAAACGGGAGGATACCTCTGTCAGGAATATCCTTACCCAAAGACGGCCCGCCCCTGAGAACAAGAGCGCGTCAGACCTTGCTCTGGAGCTAGCAGTGTTTGTGTACCACCTGAACGATTATAACTGAACAAAAAACTGTTTTTATATTAACTGATTTTTACATGCTTAAAGCAAAAGCCAGCGCACGATCCTCTTGAACTTCTATTGAAAAATACTTACTACTCTGAAGAGTATCAAGAAATTTTTAAAAGATAAATTGATCCATCGATGGTGATGACAAGTTACCAATTAAAACCCCGGCTACTAATATTTCACTAACATTTTCCAAAATATTTTCTGAGAACGGTTCGTCAATTTCGAATCCCTCGACAACCTTCCGACGTGTCACAACAGTAACCGTTGCTCAGAAGAAAGCGGTCCATGGTGGACTGACCAATTGAACAAATGCTCGTTCCGCAAGAAGCTAAAGCTGAGTAGCAGAATTAAAAGCCTATTCTCGCAAAGTCAATCGAAGATCAAACCGAACATGCGTTCCAGGTGACTTTTGAATCACAGTGCCAAAATTAACGCTTCCGCGATGTGGTGGCTTTGTTCCGCCAGTCAGCTGGGGTAATTGCGAGAATTTTAATGAGGTGAATCGTAGCCTCAGACAAGCCCACATCTTATGGACGTAGAAAGACAACAATAATCATAGAACGTGATCGATTTTAGTTTTCTGAACCAGTAGAGTGGCGTAAACATGAACAATTATTGATTTTCAGCAATTGTCGCTTTCTACGTTTGGAATCGTTGCTGGGAGTAGCTACCGGAAGGCAGACTTGTCGTTCTCCTCAACACTCAGTCTTTCATCTTGAACGTAAGTATATTTTCACTCACTGAACCATTCGAAAGCAATACCTGTGATTATGCAACATATTTTTGGAAGGTCATTTTACAGTACAAATCAAAGTTATGAATCTCCTCACTTTTCAATGCAAATCGTTTTGAAAATGATGTAAGATATTGCTTTAATTTACAACTCCTCATGTGCTGTGAAAATTTTTGCGGACTATCTTACGACACGTTCGAAACCGTTTGAGGAGAGACGTGTGATATCATTCTACTTATCAATCCTCCGGGTTTATACATCGAAACACCGTCCTCTTTCTTCTACTTCCCTAGGGGATCGTTTAAACAGACAGCGGATCCGTCGTGTTTCGGCACTTGCAGTGCGTGGGCGCGAAACGACATTACTTTGTTCGGTCGAACAGAA